CGTCCCCGCCACAGCACTGGACGGCCCGGCCACACTTGGCATCCTCGTTCCTGTTAGGGATGCCAAGTCCGCCTCTTCCTTCCTTCCTCCCAGCCGCACACGCCTAACCTTTAGCGCTCTCTCCCGAAATCCCTTAACGACCCTCTTTCCCTTCCTTTCGCCGGTTCTGCCTATGGATCCCAGGTGGGCACACCAAACGCTCCTTTGTATCCCAGCCCTATCAAAGAGGCGTGCGAATTTTAAAACAGAAGAGGACAGCTTTTAATCGTCATCTTGAACAACCTCAGCACCATCGAGACCCGTTAGACAATTTCCTTTGCTTATCTTCCCCCCACCCCCGTTTTCTGTTTCTCAGTCTCCTAGGGGAGCAGCGAGACACCTGCTGATCTACAAGCAGGGAGAATAAGAATGCGCGGTGTCGCCAATGATTTGGATTTTCTTGATTTAGGAGTTTTCGGGTCGTGGCTTACTTAATTTTGCTGGAGGCTGTCTGAATGTTCAGCTTAGAGCAAAGAGGACCAAAAATGTCTCGGAAATCAACTCAAAGATGATTTGGGGAGGGTATCCATTGTTGGTTTGGGTTTTTTTTTGGGGGGGGGTTGTTTTTTTACATAATCCAGATCCCTGTATTCCCGATCATGAGCTTAACTAAGCACTAGTTATAATGCATCTTAGTGAAGGTGCATGTTTTCCAAACCCAGAATGTTTAACCAGCAGGTCTTAGGCAAGCACTGTCATGAATACAATGATTAGTTATTCAATGTTGCTTTCTAAATTGTAAATTCCTACGTTCATTTATAGAAGACTTTTTAGTTTTAATATAGTTGCTGTCACCACTTATTCAGATGTTAATTTTAAAAAGGTATGGAGTAAGTGCCATATAGTCAGCAAAAAGATTTCAGTGCTAATTAGACCGGAAGGGAAATGATGTGTACAGACATCCTCCTTTCTGTTTTTCTTGAATTCATTAGGATTTTCTTCTTAAACATCAGAGATCCTCCTCTTACAGAGAGGAAGACACATTCATTTCCATTCTTAGCTGGTCAGCATAGTGATCTTTTGATTCAACAAGTCAAATATTATTTCATAAACTGAAGCCTCATTTGAACCACAATTCATGATAGTCTATGAGGCTAAGTCTAAGTTGACAGAATGAACACTGAGAGGAACGTTTCCTTCCTATTGTTTCCAGCTAGATTTAGTAACTTGCTATTAACAAAAAAACTTGGATGAGGAACAATTTGAACTACATGCCTTATGCTTTCCCTTTTCATGTGTGAGACTAAATGAAAGTATGTCTGTTCATGTAGTCATAGTCAATAGAACAAAAATGCTTAAATATTGGCAAAACAAGGCAAGTCAGATTTTTAAAAAAAAGTTCCTGCACCAGAATGGATAATAGCCCATTTCTAAATAAGTCCACTGATAACTCAAACTATGAGTTACCTATCTAAAATGAAAGGCAATTCATTGAGGTTTTATTGTAGTTCCTTAGTCTCCCACCCCATTCCCTCAATGCACACGCAATCCGAGATGGAGCAGGAAGGGTGGGAGTGAAGAGTGAACACATGGGTTTGAGAGAGACATTTCCAGCAGCCTCTCACATGCTTGTAGGGGTCTCCGCGGAGGAAGAGAGCTTTGTGGAACAGAACCGAAAGCTATGGCTATTCTGTACCAGCCCAACACCAAAATTGCTGCCAACAAGTCCATGTAGTACAGAGGTGTAGCAGAAATGCCTAGCAGATTCAGCAGGAAGCGAAGAAGGGATGGCATTCAAGTTAGGAGAAACATTTCATCTTCCTGGGTACACAGGGGCAACCTGAGTTCATTGATTATACCCATGAGAGGAGGGGGTTGGGAAGATGTGTAGAGGATTGGTTATTTCCATGGAAAGACCAAATTGCAAGGTATTGGATAGTCTAAATGAAACATCCAAACAATGTCAACTAATCATTTGATCTCCCCTTTGGCCCATTTTGGATTTGTTCTGGTTTTCAATATTTCCTGCTTTATTCTCAACAGAGGTTTTTTTCCTCTGGTTTATTTTAATATGGTTGTTGGTCTTTTCTTTCTTTAAAATATACATATGTTGTTTTTTCTTTTCTGAGGGGTATGTTTTCCAGTATATGAAGCATAGGATGGGCAGGTGTATAGAGACAATATTTGGTGTAATGGCTTGTTAGTGATACTGGGAGGGGGAGGTTGGAGAGAAATGGGGAGCAAATGATGAAGACAGGAATGGAGAGGATGTTCTATGATAGTGGTGATGTATATACAACTCTTTAAGTACGACCGAACTATGGAAGTGTATGGTATGTGAATTATATCTCAATAAAACTATTGGAAAAAGAATGGTTTATAGCTACTATCTTAATTATAGTACGTATACAAAACAAAACTGTCATCGAGTCAATGCTGACTCATAGTGACCCTGTAGGACCGGGTGGAACTGCTCTGTGAGTTTCTGAGACTGTAACTCTATAGTAGAAAGATCTTTCTCCTGTGGAGTGACTGGTGGTCTTGAACTGATACACCACCAGAACTGCATATAGTATGCAGTATAGCTATGGATTAATATAACTTAATTTTTAAGCAAAGCTTTGAGTTTCCCCACCACCACACTCAACTATGTTTTGTTGTAGTAAAGTTATGGAAATACATTTATGTTAGCCATGTCTCTGCGCAATGCTGGCCCTACAGATGCTCAGCAAGTACTGTTGGATGGATAGGTGTTACATGCTTCACAGAGACTTGCTTGGGAGGAATCCACAAATGTTATTCTATTCAGTCATGCTTTGATTACAAGAACAACAGAGCATACATCCTGGAAAGATTTTAGTACATTCTATGCTATTTAAACACCTAAGGTATGATTTTAAAATGTAGGTAAATGTAAAATCTGGGTTCCTAGGATCATTTTGTAGGCAAAGACATTAGTACAGATTAGTATTCAGATAGTAAATGAACTCCTAAAACAAAGCAAGTGCTTTAAGCTTTCCTGGGGCTAATATATATTTCTTAACAGGAGTCTGACTTGTGGAAACACTTCTCCAGACACAGAATAAAAGCATCCTGTGATGTGGTACTTGCCAACATGAAGAGACCTTACAGAATGTTAAGGAGTCCCTTGCTTCAAGGTCCGTGCTAATGCATTCTGATGATCATAGATCATTGTTTCTTAGCTGTGACCCTCTTTCACAAAGCTGCTGCTTATCCACAGAATGTGAAATGACACTAAGACATCTACTTCTTAACGAATATGCTACTGATAGAGCAAACAGAAGCCCAGGGTAAAAGTCAAGATGGTTCATGAGTACTTTAGTGCTCATATGCTTTTATAATTTGCAATGATAACACACTTATTTTAGAAATCTATTTCTAAGGGTAAATCTGAATGATCTCCAATTGTACTGTTAGATTATTTTCTCCATTGTTGCCGAGGAGATACCTGTCTATAAGCCGAGAAAAGCAAGCTTGGATGCCAAAGTCTTCGACTGTCTCCTACTGGAAGTTTTCATTTTAGAAGGTCTTCCTGATTTTTTCTACATGACAAAATCAATGCATCAACTAAGAACTAGCCCAAACTATCATGTAGTAGACCACAGAACACACTGGATTTGGTGCTTGTTACATGCTGTCCAGTGGGTTCTGACTCACAGCAACCTTATGTAAAACAGAAGGAAACACAGCCTCACAATTTCTATGTTGAGTACTTTGTTGCACCTACTGTGTCAATCCACCTTATTGAGGGGCTTCCTCTTACTTTGTATTTACTGATCCTCTCCCAAATATGTTGTCCTGCAGCCACTGATCCATTCTGATAGCATGTCCAAGGCATGTTATTAAAGTCTCACCATCTTCTCCTAGGAGTATTCTAGTTATACTCCTTATAAGTGAGTTCATTCTTCTGGCTGTTGACTCAATATTCTTTGCCAACATCATCATTCAAAGGTATCAATTCTTTCTGCCATCCTTGTTCATATCCATATGAAGTGATTGAAAATACCATGGTTTGGTTCAGACACCCCTTAGTTCTCAAAGTGACAGCTTTGCTTTTTAACACCCAAGAGAAATCTTTTACAGCAGAGACTATATACAGGAAGTTTACAGTTAGTGCGTTAGCTACTGTCAAATAAAATGCCAAAGTTGGAAACAAAGAAGAACCATCAGTAGTTGGAAAATAAGGCCTTGGTTGTAGAAACAAAGCTGACAATTACAAGAAAGAATTTCGCAAAACCAACAGCTTTATTGCAAATACTTTTTTCAACAGTATCAATGGTGAATACATACAGGGACCTTGCCAGATGGAATAAAAAGGAATCAAATTGCCTACCTCTGTGAGAAGAGACAATAGAGAAGATCAATATCTTCAGCCAGAAAAAGGCCAGTGACTGACTGGACCATCAATTACTTATATGTAAGTTCAGGTTGAAACTTCAGAAAATGGAAACAAGTCCACAAGAGCCAAAATATGACTTTGAGACTATCCCACCTGAACTTTGAGTACATCTCAAGATGAGATTTGACCCATTGAACTCTAATGACTGAAGATCTGAGGAGTTGAGGGATGACATCTCCCGAGAAGCGACTGGTGGGTTAGAATTGCTAATCTTGCAGTTAGCAGTCCAACATGTAGCCCACATGCCACCAGGGCTCCTCTGGTCAAACACACTATCGTATAAAAGAAAGCCCCTGAACAATGCCCCTCAGTGGAAACTTTCCTGCCCAATTGGCCTGTCCTCGCTGGCAGAAGCGGTGCTGTTTGTCCTAGTCTGTAAGCCCCTGAGTATAATGAAAGGTTGGTTCCAAGTTAGTTTCTCCATCTCTTGGTATCTATCGATAAAAAGACTTTCTTCCCCCTTGGGGTTGAGTAGAAAACACATTTGCTCTAGCTCTTCTTCTTTTCAATTTCATTTCATTTCAATTTAATTATTTTATTTTAAGGATTCCAGTCATGTTGGATTAGGGCTCACTCTAGTAAGGCCTCATGTTAACTGAAAATGTCTTCAAAGATGTCAATGACCCTATTGCCACATCAGATTCTTTCAAAAGTACTGGGGTTAGGATCTCAATATATCTTTTTTTTTTCTGGGTGGGGAGGAGGCCGGCTAGGCAGGCCATAATTCAATCATCAACACCTGCTATGTGATATTAATGGGTTGTGTGGGAAGACTGTGTAATGAGGACGGACAAAGATGCCGCGATCTACGAGCAGTTACTGTTCAGCAGGGGGAACTAATACAAGCACCCAGAGAAAGTACCTCAAGGTAGACGATGAGGGACACCACTTGGAAGTGACAAACGAACTACGAGGGCAGAGGATATCATAGCTGGAGGGCTGGAGAGGGCGCCATGAAGGGAGCAAACATCTGGCATCATGGCAGCCAGCACTGGGTGGAACAAACTAAACTCACAGCCATCTTGTGATTCCAGCTCATAGGGACCCTAGAGTAGAATTGCCCCTTTGGGTTTCTGAGACTTTCAACTTTTACAGGAGAAAGCAACCTCATTGTTCTGCTACAGGCAGCTGTTGGGTTCAAACTGGTGACCTTGTTAGCAGTGCAATGTGTAACCTACCAGGCCACCAGCTTCCTCAAAGGTTTATTGCATTTGACATGAGAGATGGTCTTATAAGAAACTTGTTCCATGTAAGACATGATAAAATAACAATAATTTATAAATTATCAAAGGTTCATGAGGGAGGGGTGGAGAGGGAGGGGAAAAATGAACTGATACCAAGGGCTCAAGTAGAAAGCAAATGTTTTGAGAATTATGAGGACAACAAATGTACAAATGTGCTTGACAAAAATAAGAAAAGGATGATGGAAACATACATACAAATGTCCTTGATACAATGGATGTATAGATTGTTATAAGAGCTGAAAGAGCTCCCAATAAAATGACTTATTAGGGAGGGGAAAAATGAGAAGCTGATGCCAAGGGCTCAAGTAGAGAAAGCAAATGTTTTGAGAATGATAATGGCAACAAATGTACAAATGTGCTTGACACAATGTATGTATGTATGTATGTATGTATGTATGTATGTATGTATGTGATAAGAGTTGTACAAGCCCCCAATAAGATGATTTTTTAAAATGACATTAAAAAAAAAGAAACTTGTTCCTGATTTTCTTGTCCATAAATGGCCTGAAATCTAAACAGAAAGGAAGCTGTAGAATTGCTGGAACTCAGAAATAAATATGTAGAAACTTCCTCGACTGAAAGTTGTACTGCAATTGTGTTTTCCCAGTAAATATCATATTGTATTCCTGTATCCCCAAGTATTTTCTCTGATGTGGTGATGCTCCGTTTCACCCTGGGACTCATGTGGAGGATGGAACATTTTAAAATGTAAAAAGAGATAACAGGGATACCAATCCAGGTGTGTATTTCATAATGAGCATCCTATTTCCATTTGTTGTTTGAAGACATCTCCCCCAAGCCAGAGAATGAGTCTCTAGATCCATGAATTTTTGAAGTATTCTTTTTACATTGATTGAACCTTTCCTCAAGCCCCAAAGCCCAAAACTCACTGCCATCGATTTAATTCTGACTCAGTAGAACTGGCCTTGTGGCTTCCCAAGAAAGTAAATCTTGACTGGAATAGAAAGCTTCATCTTTCTCCCAAGGAGCTGCTTGATGGTCTGGAACTGCTGACCTTACAGTTAGAAGTCCGACTTGCAACCCATTACACCACCGGGGCTCCTCTTCCTCAAACACAATTCCATAATTGATTAAAATGTACAGCAAAAATACATATACCATTTGAAAACAAGAGTTAACATTTAAAAAGGAAACTATTTTATTCATTTTTCATCTTCCAAAATTCTACATGTGGTCCACAGCTTTGTTTCTATCACCAAGGCCATAGTTTCCAACTACTCTTGCTTATTTCCAACTTTTGCATTCCAATCACCAATAATTAGTGATGCATCTCGATTGCATGTTTGATCAATTTCAGACTGAAGACAGTGATAGAATTCTTCAATTTTTTTCATCACTAGCTTTTATGATTGGTGCATAAATTTAAATAGTAGTGTATTGATTGGAATTCCTTGAATGCGGTTAGATGTGTCACAGATAGCATTGTATGTCAGAATAGATCTTGAAATAGCCTTTCTGACAATGAATGCAATGACATTCCTCTTGATTATGCCACTTCCAGCATAGTTAACCATATGATTTTTTGATTCAGAATGGCCAATACCAGTCCAAGTCAGCTCATTAATTCCCAGGATCTGCTAAAATAACAAATCTGCCTTGGAAAAAGTATGGCCAGAATGTTCCTTAAAGGCAATGAAGGTGAGAGACATCATCTTAAATACTTTGGACATACTATCAGGAGAGACCAGTCCCTTGAGGAGGACATCATGTTTGGCAAAGTAGAGGGGGAGTGGAACAGAGGAAGATCCTCAAAGAGATGGATTGACACAGTGGTTGCAACAATGGGCTCAAGTATGGAAACAACATGAGGATGATGCAGGACCAGGCAGCGTTTTATTCTGTTGTGCCTACGGTTGCTATGGGCCACAATGAATTTGATGGCGCCTAACAACAACAACATTTTATTCAAGTGTACCTTTTAGGAGTCCTGGTGGCATAATGGCTATGCATTGGGCTGCTAACCAGCAGTTCCAAAGATGGGGCTTTCTGCTCTCGAAAGCTTATAGTCTCAGAAATCCACAGGGGTTCTCCTCTGTTCAGTTGTGCCCTATGAGTTAGATTCGACTCCATGACAGTGGATTTCTTTAACTGCCATCTGTGTTGGGTCACTATAAGTTGAAATCAATTGGATGATACCTAACAATGATAGGGTTATTGTAAATTGGAATGACTTAGACACAGTTGAATTTGGCTTGGTTTTGGTTAAAAAAATGTGTGTATAGTAACTTTGATTGCGTTGCCATCTAGTGGTGTTATAAGATATCATGTACAATAAACTTGTCTTACATAGCGTTTCCATTTAACATTTATTGGTCATCTTTTGTATGTAATCTGCTTCTGCAAAGATTCCTGCCTGGAAGACCCTATGGGGAAGTTTTACTCTCTTACTGGGGGTCTCTATGAGTCAAAATCCACTAGACAACACCCAACAACAATAAGAATATTATATGATGAGCACATCGATCAGGGACGTATGCATGGAGTAAAGCCTGTGGGAGTGAAGCCAAGGATCTTCATTTCTCATGGGACACAAAGCAAGGTAAGCAGAAACAGCTGCAAAATCTATTATTAACCAGAACTTGGAAAGTATGAAATATGAATGTAGGAAATCTAGGAAGATTGGAAGTTGCCTAAAATGAAATAAAGATTGTTATCATAGGCATTAGTAAGCTGAAAGGGCCTGGGAGTGTCCATTTTGAATCATATGGTTTACTATACTGGGAATGACACAATCAAGAAGATTGGCATTGCATTAATTATCAAAAAAGACATTTCAAGATCAATCTTGAAGTACAATGATGTCTGTGATATAATTATATCTATCCATAATAAAGGCAATGCAGTCAATACGACTATTATTCAAATTCTTGCACCAACCACAAGAGTTACTGATGAAAAAATTGAAGAATTTTATCGCTGTTTTCAGTCGGAAATTGATCAAACATACAATTGAGATGCATTGATAATTATTGGCAAATGTCGGAGGCAAAGAGGAAGGAACAGTGGATGGAAATATGGTCTTCACACTAGAAACAAAGCTGGAAATCGCATGATAGAATTTTGAAAGACCAATGACTTGTTGATAGTAAATACATTTTTTTTCAACAAAACACAAGGCAACTATACACATGGACTTCTCTAGATGGAATACACAGAAATAAAATTGATTATATATGTGGCAACAGATGCTGGAGAAGCTCAATATCATCAGCTAAAACTAGGCCAGGGGCTGATTGTCGAACAGACCATCAATAGGTCATATAAAGTCCAGGAGAGCCAAAATTTGACCTTGAATCTATCCCACCTGAATGTTGAGAACATCTCAAGAACAGATGTGATGTCTTGACCATTACTGACAGACGGCACGATGAATTGTGGGAGGGCGTCAAGAACATCGTTCACAGAGAAAGCAAACGGTCATCAAGAAGACAAGGAATAAAGAAAAGCTCGAAGGGGATGATGGGAGAGACTTTGACAGTTGCTCTTAATCATATACACATTTCAAAGAGCAGCTTGAGAAGACCAAGTCAAACATTATAATGAAATCTGCAGAGGCCCAGAGTTAGAAAATTGAAAAGGAAGAACATGCTCAGCATAACTTAACTGAAAGAGCTAATGAAAAAAAATACAAACCTCGAGTCGCCATATTGAATGAGTCTACGGGCAAATTATTGAATTATGTAGGAAGTATCCAAAGAAGATGGAAAAAATACACAGAGTCACTGTACAAAAAGGAACTGGTCAGCCTTCCAGCATTTCAGGAGGTAACATATGTGCAAGGACCAATGGTGCTGAAAGAGAAGTTCATGTTGTATTAAAAGCATTATCCAAAAACAAGACTCCAGGAATTGATAGAACACCAGTTGAAATGTTTGAACAAGCGAATGAATTACTGGAAGCGCTCACTCATCCATGTCAGGAAATTTGGAAGGTAGCCACTTAGCCAACAGATAAGAAGAAATCCATATTTGTACCCATTCCAAAGAAAGATGACCCAACATTGATATTACATGCAAGTCAAATGTTGCTGAAGTTCATCCAATAATGTTTTCAGCTGTACATTGACAGGGAGCTGCCTAAGGTTCAGGCTGGAATCAGAAGAAGATGTGGAACAAGGGATATCACTGCTGATGTTAGATGGATCTTGGCTAAAAGCAGAGAATGTCAGAAAGATGTTTACTTGTGTTGACTGTGCCAAGGCATTTGCCTGTGTGGGTTATAACAAATGATGGATAGCCTTGAGAAGAATGAGAATCCAGAACACTTCATTATGCTCAGATCATATGTATACAGATTCATGGGCAGTTGTTTGCAAACAGAGCAAAGAAATCCTGCATGGCGTAAAATCAGGAAAGGTATGCCTCAGAGTGGTATCCTTTCACCATATTTATTCAACCTGGACGCTGAGCAAGTCAGAGAAGTTGGATTATATGAAGAAGAATGTGGCATCAGGATTGGAGGAAGGATTATTAGAAATCCTCAATGTCAGATGATACAACTTTACTTACTAAAAGTGAGGAAGAGTTGAAGTGCTTACTGCTGAAGATCAAGGATTGCAGCCTTCAGTATGGATTTCATCTTAATGTAAAGAAGGCCAAAATCCTCACTACTTGATCAATGGGTAACATCTTGAAAATGGAGAAAAGATTGAAATTGTCATGGATTTTGCCTTGCTTTGATTCTCTGATGGAAGCAGCAGTCAAAAGATCAAAAGGCATATTGCATTAGGTAAATTTACTGCCCAAGAGCTCTTTAGAGTATTGAAGAGCAACGCTGTTACTTTGAGGACTAAGGTGTGCCTGACCTAAGCCGTGGTGTTTTCCATAACCTCCTATGTGAAAGTTGCACATTGAATAAGGAAGACCAAAGAAGAATCAATGCATTTGAGTTATGGGGCTAGAGAACAATATTGAAAATATCATAGATTGCTGAAAGGACAAACTGATCTCTTTTGGAAAAAGTATGGCCAGAGTGCTCCTCAGAGGCAAAGATGGTCAGACTTTATACTTTGGATATGTCATCAGGAGAGACCACTCCCTGAAGGACATCATGCTATGTAAAGTAGCTTGGCAGAAAAAAAGAGGAAGGCCTTCCAGGAAATAGACACTGTGGCTGCAACAATGGGCTCAAGCATGGGAACAATTGTGAGGATGGTGCAGGATCAGGCAGTGTTTCATTCTGTTGTACATAAGGTCACTATAGGTTGGAACTGACTCGATGGCACCTAAACAACAACAACAATATGCTTAGCACCGAGGTGGGCTCCGTGGATACTAAGATGGTCAAAGCATAGTCCCTGCCCTTGTTGAGTTCCCACTCTAGCAGAAGATTCATTGAACGGTAGCAGACTGTCACAAGGAGGTCTGGAAGATAGACGTACAGAGATCTGTGAGTACAGGATGAAGGAGTAGTCCATTTTTCTTAACTGTGCGTATGTAACTGCCTGTTGATTCATGTACAAGTTCTTCTTGAGCACAGTGACGTGTTCTGGAATGCTCAAGATTGAAGTAGCAGCCTGAGAAAAATAAGCTAGTCTCTTAGATGTATCCTGTGTTCAGGTTATAGCTAGATGCCTTCATGCAAGATTCACAATGTACTTCAGCCTAATTTAGTAAACCTGTTTCCCCAAGTATACTGAACACATACCACAAACTTGTTACAGGTGTCCAAAAGTTGGGACAAACTAATTGTATAGGCTTTTACATCCCGGCAAGAGTTGTGATCATAAATTATATGTTGTTTTTTATTGTTAGGAGCTGGCAAGTTGATTCTGACTCAGAGTGACTCCATGTGACAGAACTGCCCCATAAAGTTTTATTGCCTGCAATCTTGATGGGAAGAAATTGTCACATCTGTTTCCTGTGGACTTGCTCGGTGAGTTGAGTTTGAACTGCTTAACTTTTTGATTAGCTGCTAGCACTTAGCCATTGTGCCGCCAGGGCTCCTTATAATCTCTATATGCATATGTAAATGATTGTGTTCTCAGTTATAATCCAGGTTGCTATGGTATTAATACCAACTTCCAGAGTTGCTGGCTGATTACTAATGATATAGAAAAAGAGCCTGGCACAGAGAGAGTATCAGTGAAGGTTAAATATCTTTCCCAGCCCTCCTCACTCATCCTAACAAGCATACTCCACACTCACGCCACAGAGTCAAGTCTGACTCCTACTGTCCCCATCTGTGTAGAGTTTCCTGGAAGTCTTTCCAATAGCAGGGTAACCTTGTCACTCTCTCACCCACCTTGGGGCCTGCAGCGAGTGCTTACCTGACAGTGCCACCGGTGCCCTCTGTAACAAGCTCCAGCTGCATTGAAATTTCACTTAAATAGGACAATTTTTGTGCATATTCCATTTTACTGAAAGCACTCTTAATTTATAAAGGATCGTACCACATGAAATTCAATTTCATATGGCTTCTTTTATTGGATTATTCACATAATTGTGGGAAAGAATCTTAAAATCTCCCATTCACCATTGACTTGGTCAGTTGTGTGTCAAATAAAATTTGGGGGCTACTGGGATGAACATACCAAACTACTGCTCTCCAAAAGCCACCCCTCTTCCCCCAACACACACAAGTGGAGTGGGAGAAGGCATATTAGAAAACCAGCTATGATTGGATATAGGTAAGTAGAAGGTACAAAGGGAGGACAGAGGAAGGACACCTAATTTAAATAGGATCTTAGGATGCAAGGGCAAGCAAACAGAGTTGGGCAAGATTGGCCTAAGTTCATCCTGTGGGAGATGGGAGGAAGTGCCTGTGTGAGTAGGCCAAGAAATATAGATCCATGATTCGGTTTGGGGCTCACTCTAAATCCTAGCTGCAACTTAAGAACAATTGGTTCTTGCACCATGTTCCTGCTTGATACAGAGCCTCAGGAAGGGAACACAGAAGTCATGGGTGGTATAGCAAAATGTGGTGGAGAAATTAGATGGTGCCCGGCTATTAGATAAAATAGCATCTGGGTCTTAAAGGATTGTTTCCAAACAAGCTGCCATCTAAGTGAGATGTCAACTAAGTCCACGTGGAAAAGCACACCAACATCAATCACTGAAGGTTGTAAATCATATATTTTGAAATCAAAGGAGGGATCAGAGCCTAACCTGTGAGAATCTAGTTTGCAGAAGGCTATGGATGACAGTGGGAGCCCAAGATACACTTGTGGGAACCACATAGGAAACAAGCCTTCAGTGATTGCCCTCTGTCCATCATAGAGGGGTGGGAGAAAAGTGGTTACTAAACACTGTGTATTGGAGAGATGACTACAGAAGATCAAAAGGATAAACCTGACTTAAGCAGTTAAACCTTATCACCCTCATTCTCTTGAATTTGTGTTATATGTATTTCTGTCTTTCAGTATGTGAAACTCAGGATGGATGAACCTCTAGGGACAACAAGTAGAATAAGGGTGTCTGGGGTGGAGGTGGGGACAGTGGTGTGTGTGTGGGGTGGTGGTGGAAAGGTAGCCAATGTCAAGGAGTCCAGGAAGGAAAAGAATGTTTTGAAACTGATTGTGATAGCAGTTGTACAATACTGCTTGATGTGATTAAACTATGGAAAGATATATATTATTAACTCCCAATTAAAAAAAAAATGAATGGGGAGGAACCAGTTATTCCTGAGGCTGCAAGAAAAATTCCTTATCTATGATCAAAAGGGTCATTTAGATAATTATATTTTGGTCATGTATTTACATGTATGATATGAAGAAATCAGTGTTGTGAAGTAGTCCAGATAACTGACTTTTAGAAAACAACTATTACCGATAGCTGAAGGCAAGGAGCATTGTTTGGTAAATGTTGGACTACTAACCACAAAGTCAGTAGTTCAAACCCACCATCCACTCATAATTGACTCAATGGCAGGGAATTTGTGATTTGAACAGCTGAAGTTACTGAGCCATGTTCAGTGAAAGCCAAACCAATATCATTAGTTATATGCCTATCATTTCTAATCCTCATCAAAGAAGGTCTAATTATTTTTGGAGTATTGACCATACTAATTTATACACAAGCATTCCTGTGATTTATTCTTCCCTAAAGAAGTTTCTATATTTTCTAGATTTAAAAGGCTATCTGAAGATGTGGGACCTATTTTCTAGTTGACAGGGTGGTTTAAATTTTTCTACTGCCTTTCTCCCATCACGCTGACCCAACCCAACCGTGGCAAATGTGGATGTCTTGGGTTTACTCCTTGTGCTCATCTAAAACCAGGGAACTCTCAAAAACCAGGATGCCCATTGTAAGTGAGCTGGAGACAAGAACAGGGTCCTAGGCCACAGCAAAGGTGGAGGTGTGCTGTGTGATACACCATAGACTTTTTTTCTCTTGTCAACTTGGGCGGGGACAAATTCATTTCTTCAACTTGTTCCTGGCACAACCAACAAATGCTTGCATTTTTAACCCATTGCCATTGAGTTGGTTCTGATGCACAGGACAGAGAAGAATGGTAGGCTCACAGGCTGACTGCCACCTCTTACTCTCCTGAAATGGTTTGCCGGTTCAAGCAGCTGATCTTTCCATTAGCAGCAGAGGGCTTAACCGCGGTGCCACTAGGGCTCTGTGTGTGTGTGTGCGCGCGCGCACGCGCGCGCCATTTTACAGTTGGGTGTGTGAATGTTGAGTGTGTAGAACTTTTTCTCCAAGGACAATTTTAGCTCTAAGGATGCATCAAATTATGTTACACCCTGGCAAGTTTCACATCCGTGGATGACTTAAGAAGAGTCTATTTTCAGGAACTAACAATGGTGTCCATACAATCCAAGAGCTTTAAAAAAGAATACACACACACACACACTCCTTCACACTCCTTCACTTACCAGAAATAGAAATTGATTTAACACATTGAAATTATGTTACTTAGACATTTCTTTCAAATGCTAAAGAATAATTTACTTTGGTCTTAGAGACCAACATTTCCAACCCAAGGAAAGAGATCATGGCATTTGGATTTGAAAAGTAGTAGAGCAGAACACAAGGAGGAAGTGGGATACATGATGGTGCATCGAGGGGAGTACAATGGATGGGTTAAACAAAATGTGTATGAACTGTTGAATGTATAACTAATGATCTGCTCAGTAAACTTCACCTAATTCATAGTACTTAAAAAAATGATAGTAGGATTCATCTAGTCAATGCATCCCTCCCTTCCTCAACACACCAGCCCTGTCTCTTTCCAGGGCTTTTCTTCACGGAACTTCAACATAAATGGGGCCAGTCAAGCACAGATTCAGGCTATAGACCAACCATTGTATGTGATTCCAGACTTTATAATTGTACCCCAAAAGAATAAGTAACATTGGCAAACAGTGACTTATATTGGTTTGCGTATTTTTCACTTCATTTAATTTCGCCTCCTGTTTCAAAGTTTTGCGGAAGAAATAAGAGACAACTTTTCCCCTGGACAATCGCTTCCCAGATAGGCTTCCTTTGTCCTTAAACCCACTTCCATTGAAGCAATCCCAACTCACATGGGCCTATAGTGGGTTTCCTAGACTGTAAATCTGTACATGAAGAAGGCAGCATTCAACTTTCTCCCAAGTAGCAGCAGGTTGGTTTGAACTGTCTACCTTGGGACTAGCTGCCCAACATGTGACAAGGAGCTCTATAAGTATTAAGTGAAGGAGTAATCAATTTCCCCTAACTGTGTCTATTGTGCACCTTTAAGCACACTGCTCTTGAACAGAAACATGAAAATAATGGTATCAGGGAGCAGGTAAGTATTAGTGAAGTAATGGCTCTATTTCTATGTATTTTTACACAATCCAAAATGCACTTAGATGATGAAAGTTAATCTACTGATATGCAAGTTTACTTGCGGAATGTATTTCCATGTCTAAAAGACTAGAAAAAGTATATCTTTGAACATTTTAGAATTCTAATCTCTTTACTTTGGCCATGGTTCCTGACAGACATGTAAGAATGACCAAATCAAACTCATGCTATCAAGTCAATTCTGACACATAGTGACTATTGGATAGCATAGAACTTCCCCTGTGGGTTCCTGAGACTGACTCTTTACAGGTGTAGACAGCCTCATCTGCTGACCTTGAGGTTAGCAAGCCAATGTATAACTCAGTACCATTGGGTTTCTAACCGCAAGATCAGCAGTTTGAAACCACCAGCCTTTCCTCAGGAGAAAAATGAGGCTTTCTACTTCTACTTTCTATTTTCAACTTCTTTCTACTTCTGCTACAGTCTCGGGAATCCATAGGGGCAGTTCTACCCTGCCCTATAGGGTCACTATGAGCCAGAATTGGCTCATTATTTAGTAAATACATGTAATAGTAAAAGAAGAATAAACATCATCTCAAAGGAGGGAGACAATGTACAACATGTATGTAATACATAATCCTAGTATGTACATATGTGTGTTCATCCATATGTGTGGGTGCATGTGTATTGGCATGTACATTGTACATGCCAGGGGATTCATGTGAGGAGGCCACATGGTCAACAGGTCAGGGCTGGAAACTACCAGGTCACTATACATTCTGGGTGTGCAGCTGGGTAGAGTGCCAGGAATTTTGTATACATTCCCTGTTCACAGCTTTGAAGTCAAATGGAAGCGTGTGCGCACACACACACACACACACACACACACACTCACCTCCTTCAAATCAATTCTGACGATGGTAACTTTTTCCAGGAGTAGAAAGTCTGACCTTTCTCCCGAGGAATGGCTGGTTATTTCTAACTGCTGACCTTACAGCAGTGGTTCTCAGCCTTCCTAATGCCGCAGCCCCTTAATACAGTTCCTCATGTGGTGCTGACCCCCAACCATACAATTATTTTCATTGCTACTTCATAAGTGTAATTTTGCTACTGTTATGATTGGGAAACCCCTGTGAAAGGGTCGTTCGACCCCCAAAG